TCTTGGCTTAGTGGGGTGGTAGGGTTATTCAGGGTGCCTTGGTGGGGGTTGAACAAGCCCCCTCTTGGCTTAGGCAAGTAGTGGGTTTTTTAGGCAGGTGCTGGAGTTTTTCAGGGTGCCTTGGTGGGGGTTGAACAAGCCCCCTCTTGGCTTAGGCAGGTAGTGGGGTTTTTTGCAGGTGTTGAGTTGTTCAGGGTGCCTTGGTGGGGGTTGAACAAGCCCCCTCTTGGCTTAGGCAGGTAGTGGGGCTTTATGCAGGTCTTGAGTTGTTCAGGGTGCCTTGGTGGGGGTCGGCTCGGGTTTTGGGGTTGGGGTTTAGAGTGCTTGCCCAGAAGCCCGAAGCAAGACCCTAAATGCCCAAATTCTTTAACCCTGAACCCTAAACCCAAACCCCCGAAGCCCTACTCCCCTGAGCTCTGAACATGATGCCTCATCCTGAATTGTAAGGCTAAACTCCTCCATAGCAATAGTTGCCAAGCCCCCAATTTGCACATGCCATCGACCTTCACCTCAGCCCTGGTAACCCTGAACCCCTGGACCTTATGCCCGAAACCCCGAACCACATAAACCCTGAACCTGAGGCCCTGAACCCCTTGACCTTAAACCCTAGCGCCGCTAACCCTGTCGTTGCAGGCCTTTGAGCCCTAACCTTTACACCCTAAACCCCCAAACCCTACACCTGTGGTGGCACAAGACTGCTTGCGCCCGACGACGAGGCATGGCATTCGCTTGCAACCGGTTGGGTTCTGTATTTTTCTCACACAACCATGAATTGAAATGATTCTTAGTTGCAGGGTTCTGCTGCAAAAAAACAGGTTGCAACCAGTTGCGTTCTGTAACTTGTGGCAAATCAGATGACTTGAATACAGGTTTCTGTGGCAAAATACAGATTGCAACCAGTTGCGTTCTGTAACTTGTGGCAAAAACATCAATTCAGATGACTTGACTACAGGTTTGTGTGGCAAAAAACAGATTGCAACCAGTTGCGTTCTGTAACTTGTGGCAAAACCATCAATTCAGATGACTTGAATAGAGCTTTCTGTGGCAAAATACAGATTGCAACCAGTTGCGTTCTGTAACTTGTGGCAAAAACATCAATTCAGATGATGGGAATACAGGTTTGTGTGGCAAAAAACAGATTGCAACCAGTTGCGTTCTGTAACTTGTGGCAAAACCATCAATTCAGATGACTTGAATACAGGTTTCTGTGGCAAAATACAGATTGCAACCAGTTGCGTTCTGTAACTTGTGGCAAAACCATCAATTCAGATGACTTGAATAGAGGTTTCTGTGGCAAAACACAGATTGCAACCAGTTGCGTTCTGTAACTTGTGGCAAAACCATCATTTCAGATGACTTCAATACAGGCTTGTGTAGCTAAACACAGATTGCAACCAGTTGTGTTCTGTAGCTTCGTAGTAACAGTTGCGAGATCTAGGGCCGTTGAGATTGTCGGGTTTAGAGGTCAGGTTTAAGGGTTTCGGGCTAGTGCATCATGCATGTCACATCAGGCATGGCATGCCACATCATGTTCTGGTTCAGGGGTTTAGGGGTTCAAGGGTCACATCATACATGCCATTCCATGGCATATTCTGCTTCAGGGGTCTAGGGGTCGCAGCATACATGCCATAGCATGACATTTTGTGGTTTAGGGGTCACATCATGCATGTCATGCCATGTCATGTCATGTTCTGGTTTAGGGGTTTAGGGGTTGCATCATACATGCCATACCACGACATGTTGTGGTTTAGGGGTCACATCATGCATGTCATGCCACGACATGTTCTGGTTTAGGGGTTTAGGGGTTTAAGGGATCATACATGCCACCCCATGTTACTTTCTGCTTTAGGGGTTTAGATCATGCATGTCATGCCACGACATGTTGTGGTTTCGGGGTTACTTCACTCATGTCATGCCACGACATGTTCTGGTTTAGGGGTTTAGGGGTTTAAGGAATCATACATGCCATCCCATGTCACTTTCTGCTTTAGGGGTTTAGATCATGCATGTCATGCCACGACATGTTGTGGTTTAGGGGTTACTTCACTCATGTCATGCCACGACATGTTCTGGTTTAGGGGTTTAGGGGTTTAAGGAATCATACATGCCATCCCATGTCACTTTCTGCTTTAGGGGTTTAGATCATGCATGTCATGCCACGACATGTTGTGGTTTAGGGGTTACTTCACTCATGTCATGCCACGACATGTTCTGGTTTAGGGGTTTAGGGTTTAAGGGATCATACATGCCATCCCATGTTACTTTCTCGTTTAGGGGTTTAGATCATGCATGTCATGCCACGACATGTTGTGGTTTAGGGGTTACTTCACTCATGCCATGCCATGTCATGTTTTGGTTTGACATGTTGCGGTTTAGGGGTTACTTCAGTCATGTCATGCCATGTCATGTTTTGGTTTAGGGGTTCAGGGGCTTGGAGGTTTAGGGAGAGGGGGTTCATGGATCCTATGTACTCTGTGAAGCGGTCCCTCCAACACAAGTGCTCCAGGCGATTCAGCGGCTCGAGGGCTTCTTTGAGGACCTTGCCAAGGCATTGCACCTCCATAAGCAGGTCCACACCCTGTTGTCCAGACACACTCTTAGTCTTTTGCAACACTGCAATATCCGTCTCAGCACTATCCAAGCGCGAAAACACAGTGTTGAAGCGGGCTTCAAGCTCTCGGTAGGATAAAAGATTTTGGGGCTGCTGCCTTAAGATATCTCATGCTGAACATGCTGATTTGAGCAGCTTGCTGGCTAGATATGACGATGAAGCATCAACAAAAAGCTGTAGCTAGGAAAAGCAATGCGGCATGGATGCTTTGGTGCTCGGCAGTCTGTCGTTTGCATGGTGTGATTTCCCTACCAACAGAGATTTTCGGGCTCTTCACAAATCTCTGCACACGGGTTGGCCGCCGTGTGGGGTGCAGGTCCGGCTAGAAAGCACATGGGGTGTTGGGGCCAACTCGCAACGAGCCCGATGCGAATGACAGCGAGACGATGAGCTAATGTGCTCGCTGGCACCCCTGCTTATCTGGAGGCACGAGGTCATATCGTGCGGGGGCAGGGCCCACCCCGTGCCTATGGCCTCTTGCCGATAGACCGGAGTATCGTGCTGGTGGGAGGCTGTTGGGTTCCTGTGGGTCGTGGTGATGGCCCTACCGAAGGGGTGCCCGGCACATGACACAGGCACCTCTCACACCATTGGCCGGGTGTGGGGCAAGGGTCTTTGCACCGCTGGGGAATGTGGCTGCCTTGGGGCCAACCTGCCAGTGCCGGCAGATGACAGCAGGACGAATGGGCTAATGTGCCTGCTGGGGTGGCCACAGTCCTTGCTTGGCAGGTATCTGCTGAAGTGTGCAAGCCCTTTTGTACGGGAGGCCGTTGATAATCATAAGTGTTGTCTTTTCATGCTCATGATTTTGATGCTTGTGAGCCTTGACATTCTCAGCCCTACCTACACTGACTTCCCGGTTTGTGGGTTTTGGTCGGTGTGTTACCGTTGGCCGGGTGACAGGGCGGCCCAGGCACCTTGAAGCCAACGCCCCTTTCGAGGGGTATGACAGCGGGACGATGAGCTAAAGTGTCCGCTGGGGTGCTAATCTGCAGGCGGAAGGCAAGAAGAGGGGTGTCGTGACTCACGGGCCTGCGGTGCCCGCATTAAGGCGGTGTCAAATCCGTCGCCTGGGGTTGGGACCCGCACTGCAGGGCAAGGGCCAGGGAAGGGA